CATGTTGATTTGTTTTTAAAACCTGGAGACAGTGAAACAACAATAACTTAAGAAGACAAGTTGACAGTATATCAAATAATATTTGGTTAGCAATGTTTACATATTACTTTCATCGCGAATATAATAATTTTTGTTGGTGTAAAAATATCAAACATTTTTAAACTGTCATTTGTGTTAAAAAGAATGCCTAAAAAATCCGTGTTGCATTTAAACCTAAATGCTTGCATAATAATGATAAAATTTACGTTGTAAAAGCTGCGACTATTATGAAACTGCGTAATTATTACAATTAGTCATCCCTAGCAAGCATTTCACCCTTATTAAAGTTACAATAGCTTTTTTCTTTTCCAATAATTTGAATACATGTAAAATATATCTAATAAATCCAAGTAACAATTAGATAGCAGTACAATAAACACGACAACGTAATGAGAAACCTTGTTGCAATTTAGTAAAAATATTTATTAACACTATTATATAAGTGATTTCAATATTTCTAATATAATAATAACAATATTTAAATTGTAAAAGCTGCTATTCTTGCATAATCGGCAAATCATTTTTTTCTCATCAAAGCTGCAATAACTCGAAAATATAAAATATTTAACAAATTTAAATAACAATCAGGTAGCAATAAAATAAATGCGACGACTCAATAAAACATGGTATAATATTTACACTATAATAATAACAACAAAAATAACATAACGGCATTTACATTGCAAAAGTTCTGATTGTTGATTGTAATTTGTAAAAATGGCAACCCTTAGAAAAAGTTTCATTTTTATCAAAGCTGGCAATAATTTGAATTACATTTCACCAAAAATATTTATCAGTTCAGTTCATTGAATTTCTTAATGTTTGCAATATGATAATAATAATAATAATAATAATTTATATGTCCGTTGCAAATGCTGTGGTTTTATCGAGATATCGTAAACGTTATTATTTCATTCTGGAGCTCAATATTGAGCTGCATTTTATCTCGAACACGTTCCGAGAATAATACACTCGATTTTCCAGCGTTCGATCGTAGAAAAAAAATTCATCGAATTTCTACCATCGAGAACCATCGCAGTACAATTCCTTTCTTCTTCGTATTTTTTTTCCGTAGAGATACCGAGAATCTCGAACAACGATGCTGCTGCTGCTGCATACATTTCACTGCGAAAGTAACGTATCGCGAATAAAACCGTGCAACGGTAATGGCCGACAAGGAGAAAAAAGAATTGGTCTCCGATGTAAACCAATTATTGTTGCGTCTGTGGATCATAACGTAGAAGGTTTCAATCCGTTTACCTGATCAAATCTGCATATTACAACTGTGGCCGGGACGGCGGCGAAGCCTTTGGAAATCCGGCGCGCGAAATTCTCTGACATTCGCATCGCTCGTGTTTTCGCGAGCCGTTTTAGCGAGTCGATTAAACAATATTTTTAAGGGCGGTTTGGCGAGCGGACGGGAGGGGTGAAACCGAGTCCAAGGAGAAATTGCTCGGACACTCGATTACAAAAACGAGAGGACACTAATCGAGCGAATATTCGCGATTTTAATGCGAAGTTGGCTTTAACGAGACGCGGCTGCAATTTTAATGCAAAATACACCATTCCGTTCCGATTCCGACGGTTAACTGATTTTTCCGCGTCGCGACTCGCAGCCAACGGTCGCCGTAAATATGCTGCTGATGAATCTGAAATCTGAACAATTATGCTTGAACTTTTCGCGATATCTGTTTACCGAATTCTCTGCAGGTTTTATAAACGCTTTACGGACGGGTTGGTCTTTTTTTTCTGACCCGTCGTTAGAGGTCGAAATGGAAGAACGTAAATTTACGCGACCCGTCAGCGTTAAATGTTTAAGTAACGTTATTTTTGCAAAGGATTTTGAAGGATTTTAGTGCTGAAAATTATTTAAAAATGCGAACGCAATGTTCTTCAGAAAAATGCAATTTTAAAGATTGCAACCCTTAAGGAATTTCACTCACGAAAATTTGCTTTGAACAGTTCGGTATTTTTGCAACATACTTGGAATATTTTTGATTATCATGTCAGCGCAAGGACAAGAAAATTTGTCCAACTTGTTATTCAATTTTTGCAACCCCCAATTTCGATATTTTATTAGCTTCGTTATGACTGAAATCACCGTTGGATCTTTGCATGCTCGAGATTATTCTGAAACTTAAACGTGACCTTAAAAATGTGGAAGCAACACATTTTTCGCGAATCTTCAATTTTGAAATTTTTCAACCCCTAAGATATAAATATTAGCGCAAGAGAACAATCGATTCATTTTTCCAAACAATGATGAAATTTTTACAACTTAGAATTCCCGCCTTTAATATTATTCTTATTGCAATGACTTCACAAAATAATTCAGTTTTTAAATCGAGCAACCCCCCTAAAGAATTAATTTCATCCCTTCGTACGTTGAATAACATTTGTCTCTTCGCAAGTTTCTTGAAACGTTTCCAAGTACGAAATTAATGCAAGAACGTTAAATACATTTTCCGAAATATTCCTAAATTTCAATTGTTACATTTCTCAACCCTCTTTATTATTGTTATTTTTATTGCAAGTGTAACAATTATTGGACCTTTTATTGTCGTTCTAAATTCTTTCACGTTTTCTACTAATTTTTTTCTACTAATTTACGTTAAAACTTTGCAACGTGAAAGAATTTAGAACGACAATAAAAGGTCCAATAATTGTTACACTTGC